ATAGCAGTGTCTTCCAACGAATTAGACGACTCCCTTCGTCGAATAATTCAAGCCGTACAATCATCCGAATTTGCACCTGATATCAACGCATTGAAGGCTGAAAAGCAGATTAATAAGCATAGCTCGCTATGCAGTTTATCACCGTTTTTGGATGATGAAGGCATTCTTCGCGTTGGAGGAAGATTGGAATATGCTATGCTACAAATGGATGCGAAACACCAAATGATATTGCCTTATAATGATCCTTTGGTGAAATTGCTATTTAAGACAGTTCATGAACAAAATAAACATTGTGGAGCTCAAGCCCTGTTAAACGCAATAAGACAGCGATTCTGGCCAATAAAAGGCAAGATAACAGCAAGGTCTACCGTTCAAAGATGCATAAAATGTAATAGAGCGCGACCACAACTGTATCAACAAATAATGGGAAATTTGCCAGCAACAAGGGTAGTTCCTGCTCGACCATTTATCAACTCTGGAGTCGACTACTGTGGGCCATTTTGGATACATTACAAGGTCAGGGGCAAGCGACCAACAAAGGCTTATGTCGCCGTATTCTGCTGCTTTGCAACAAAGGCTGTTCATTTAGAGCTCGTATCGGACCTATCAACCGAATCATTCATTGGCAGAGGTCACTGCCAATCATCGCAGAGGTCACTGCCAAAATATATACTGCGATAACGCTACAAACTTTGTTGGAGCCAAAAATAGTTTAGAGGAATTATCTGAAACCTGCAAGTTCCAAGGGCATACAGTTCCATTTCATTCCACCAAGAGCTCCGCATTTCGGAGGCTTATGGGAAGCTGCAGTGAAGTCCGCAAAACGTCTCTTGGTCCGTAGTGTTTCAACGGAAACACTCATGAAAAATTAGAGACAATAATAGTAGAAATCGAAGCTATTTTAAATTCGCGTCCGCTCACACCTCTTTCAAACGATCCAGATTGCCTTGAAGCATTGACGCCGGGACATTTTCTAATCGGCGAAGCTCTAACTTCGCAGGTAGATAGTAGAGCAGAAACTTCGAAAACATTCAGGATAACACACTGGAAGTTAATTTTGCATATTAAGCACCAATTCTGAAAAAGGTGGTCGGAAGAATACCTACAAGAACTCCAGCAACGTAACAAATGGAGGCAAAAGATGCCCAATCTTAGAAAAGGAGATATGGTCATTATAAAGGAAGACAATCTACCTCCAATGAAGTGGCCATTAGGGAGAGTTCTTAACGTATTTTTCGGTGATGACGGAGCTGTAAGAGTTGCTGAAATAAAAACCCCAACCGGAGTATTCAAGCGGGCCATCCATCGACTAGCACCACTGTTTCCAGAAGATCATGATAATGCTGTAATTGACAAAGATACAACTCAAGAAAGCACAATTTCCCACAAGAAAAAGCCGGTAACAGATGAACATGGAAGAGATGTCATTCCGGCAAAAAGAGTGAGAATTGCAAACAGTCCTATAATACTATAAGTATTATTAACATTGTTCCTAATACCTATGGTCCTGTGCAACAATTTGAAAGTTACACAATTTCACAATGATCCGGGATTATATTTTGAAGGGTTAGGAACAATGAAACTGAATACGGCAGAATGGAAGATGCTAGTATATTATGACTTAAAGCCCTTTGTTTCGGAAATAGAGTCATTGGCATCCGGCTTACAAACGTTGCAGCAAATGTGCCATGTAATGCATCAGCATGAGATGTGCAACATTTTTGTAATCAACCTGAAGCAGACGAAAAATGAATTACTACAAGACAAAGAATTATTCATCAACAAACGTGTAAAAAGATCTCCATTCAACATAATTGGGAATATTGCGCACTCACTTTTTGGCGTTCTTGATACGGACTATGCAGAAGAAATGTCAAAGACTATCAACCAGGCAAAAGGCGAACAGGACCACATAATCAGTCTATTGAAAAATCAGACTTCAATAATTGATTCAACTATTAATGTTATAAAACAGGATGAGATTAACACTCATCAAAAATACGGGAGATTTTGAAAATGATTGACAAACACAATAACGATATAGCTGAAGAATCCGCCCAATTCAACAATTCTCAACTGTTTGGACTTCTATCAACGCATTTGATGTTATCCGCAATAAATCTACAGAGAACACAGGCCGAAATCATTAATGTACTTACTGATACTCATCATGGAAAAATAAGTCCCCTGTTATTGGCTCCTCATCAATTGAAAGAAGAAATTAGTGTCATTAAGGCTAATCTTCCAATTTCACATGCTTTGCCAACATCAGGTGACAATTTGATTCAACTTTATAAGCTTATGAGTGTCAAAGGGGCAGTTACAAAATATGAAATCATTTTTGAAGTGAAGATACCCTTAGTTAACCAACAGTTTTTTGAGTTGTTCAAAATAGTTGCAGTACAAAATGACAGATTGAAAGGCATTCAATATATAAGTCGACAAGAGGAAATTGAAAAGGTTTCAACAAATACCAATACCACCTCTTACAAGATTCATCAAGAAGAATTGGATAATATACAAGAACAGTTGCATGAATCAACTCTAAAACACCTACCACAATTAATACACTCATCAAATCAACATCATCATGCAGTTAGCTACGCATCTTTAGCTTGCTGCATTCTTTTTTTACTTGGCCTGCTGAGTTGGAGGATCCACACAAAATTTAAGAAGCCATCTCAATTCATACCTACACCAGCTATAAGATCTCATCAATCAACAATCGATGTTACAATGGAGTCATTCCCACATGCATCCAACCCAGGCGCACTCATTACTTGAACAATGTCAACGTGGCGGAGAATGTTAAAACATACATAAATATTTTTTTTATTGTTCTATAAACATACTTTAGATTTAATTACCAAAACAAACAATAAATACAAAAATCAAGCACACCTACATATTTATAAGTTTTAAACTGCTTATACAGCATTATAATATCACATATTTGGACTATTTTATTGTTACAGTTAATTTTCTTTATTTTAGTTCATTGGCCATTGGTTCATTCACTTTTGCAATGTTTTTAAGTTTCTTTAACACATTTATTTATTTTGCTTACATAGCATTTAATGTCTACTAGTAGCCGACCTACATTACAATTAATTTATATCAGCATTTATCAATAGCATTTTAATTAATTATGTTAGGAAATTATGTATATAAAGACAGCCAGAAATAAAGAAAATTCAGTCGTCTTTTGTAGTGACTAAACTAAGAGTTTTAATTACTATCTAGGCGGCTACCTTCAAGTTCATGTGCTTGCAAGGAAATTAATTTGGATACTAAGTGTCAGTTCAAATTTATGTGTTTGAATTGAATCGCACTAGATCCTACTATCAAAACATTTTTTGAAAAACTATCACAACTCTTCTCTACTGTTTTTTGGAAGTTTGGAGCTTCTTGGTTTTTTGTTTTGGTGGTTTTTGAAGATTTTCTTATGTTTTGTTTGATATTTTTTTGAGGCTTTCCATGTGAGAAAGAAATATGTATATTCTTAGAATACTACTACTGTGTGTGTAATAACATACAAGTATATTTTGTCACAATTAATGGAAGTGTGACCAACCGTTTCGAACAGAGAGAAGACGAACCGCAACTCACGATCTCCTGTTTACCAGCTTACGCGGGAGACCGGGGTTCAATCACGTCGGGGTCACCAAGAAATGTTTTGATAGTAGGATCTAGTGCGATTCAATTCAAACACATAAATTTGAACTGACACTTAGTATCCAAATTAATTTCCTTGCAAGTACATGAACTTGAAGGAAGCCGCCTAGATAGTAATTAAAACTCTTATAGAACAATAAAAAAAAATATTTATGTATGTTTTAACAGAACCTTATATACTAACTTACTAATAATGGACGTTCACAGTTAACCTAACATTAAAACATAAATATAATCTATTAATAGACAAGGCACGGTCGACGAAGGGGTTTTTGTTGTAACAGACAAAACCAACTTACATGGTTATGCTACTTCGTTCAGGCTGAACGAAAGCATAACAAGTGGAGAAAGATGTAAATGTTTATAAGTGCGGTTGTAAGATTTAGAAGACTTTCCAAGAGAATTTTAGTTTTATTTAATTATTTGGTTCCTCTTCTATTGAGCTTACGATCTCGTCACTTGGGTAAAAAAATGTTTTTTGTCATAGAAGTTATTTTTAAAATAACTTCTGGGGAGAATATCCCAGACAAAAACAAGGGAACTGATGAGGATTGGTGGCTCTTTCCGAAACCTAGGTATTCCCTGCCTTACCCCCTGGTAAACATTACCATCGTTCTCCACTAATAAACAAACGTTGTTTTTATAAAAACAACAATAAAGGGATAAAGCCAGACCATTTTGCAACAACAAAATACTACGGTATCCCGAACAAACAAGCCACACTGTTCTATTAATAGACAAGGCACGGTCGACGAAGGGGTTTTTGTTGTAACAGACAAAACCAACTTACATGGTTATGCTACTTCGTTCAGGCTGAACGAAAGCATAACAAGTGGAGAAAGATGTAAATGTTTATAAGTGCGGTTGTAAGATTTAGAAGACTTTCCAAGGGAATTTTAAGTTTATTTAATTCTTTGGTTCCTCTTCTATTGAGCTTACGATCTCGTCACTTGGGTAAAAAAATGTTTTTTGTCATAGAAGTTATTTTTAAAATAACTTCTGGGGAGAATATCCCAGACAAAAACAAGGGAACTGATGAGGATTGGTGGCTCTTTCCGAAACCTAGGTATTCCCTGCCTTACCCCCTGGTAAACATTACCATCGTTCTCCACTAATAAACAAACGTTGTTTTTATAAAAACAACAATAAAGGGATAAAGCCAGACCATTTTGCAACAACAAAATACTACGGTATCCCGAACAAACAAGCCACACTGTTCCATAAATATAATTGGTCATATTTTGTTCGTCTCTGTTTGTTGTGATTTTAAATGTCTCAATTCAATGTAAATTTAATGTTATATTGTTTGTTTGTTAAATTTTCAGAAATTTTCAGCGCATCATGGAAGCTTTTGGCGCTTAATTCTGAACGGTAATTGGAGGCAACTGCCAATTTTTTACAGGAGAATCTCGGCTTGTTAGGTAAGTATGAGAAAATGTATAATTTTACCTTTTTATCGCCGGTACTTATCGACTTTTTCTACTTTTAGGCAAAAGACATCAAAATGGTTTTTGCTGCTAACTCAAACAAGGCCAGTTTCCATCAGCCAAACAAGATAATCACGGGAACAAATTTAAACACAAATTGGGCAGCTGTTTATCCTGGCGGGTTTCCAGAAATTCCGGGTTTTTGCCAAAATTGACCACCTCCAGGAAGAAGTCTGGAGGAGCCAATGTTTCTTGTTCGGGGCTATAGTTGGCGCGACTTTACTATTTTGTTCGCACGTACACATAAATTAAATTATCCAAAACGAACACAAATAAACACACCACAATTTGACATTAAATTTAACAAATATTCCACTGTTACTTTATTTTGACGATGGGGCTTAATTCCCGGACAAATGGTATTTTTCCACAACAGAACAAGACGCATTCACGAAATTTTCCCCGCTACGCCTTTTTATAGTTTTTTTTCTCTTTTCACATTTTTCGCGGATTTTTCCTCAGTTTATTCGTTTTTCCTTTGAACCGCACCTACATATCCCTACACCCTACATAGTTGCATTCTTCGCTTCACTTACAGTGATGGGTGGCAACGCTGAAATTCTGTACATGACCCGGCCACTTCGCATATCCGGCTCTCTCATTTTTTTGCCGGCCAAAGAAGACAGCAACTATACACAAAGGTGCTGGTAATAAATTTATTAAAATTTAAACATTTCTGGGTCACATGCAACAAACTTCAACATTTCCAAGGCAAACGCTGGAAATGATGATGTGCATGACCTATGGAATGGTATTTTGAAAAATCTCTCAGTGATGACTGAAATAAAACTGGATTTAAATCGGGATATGCCAATCTTAAGGAAATGCATGCTACCAGCTAGAATCACGGACATTTCTAAAGTGGACAGGACACAGGTAAGCAGTTGTAAAATTATTTATTCGTACACATTTTAATTTGAAAATTTTTTTGTTCTATGGTGACTATTGAAAATTTATCTTTAATATCGTCTTTACTATTTCAGGTTACTAATGGGGTGACATTTTGACATAAAAGTTGTTGGCAGCTAAGCAAATTACAAGGTAATTAAAAATGGAGTGCTACACATATTCCCCTTGTGGACACCAACCTTCAGATATTACCAACAAATTGATCAATCCCACGGCAGCGGGCTCTGCGATACCGGATTGACCCGAAACAACAAGATCCCAGTTTCGGTCAGCGGCTGCCAACCCAGTATGTACATGTTTGTGTTTGTTTATTTTTCTGCATTGGGAGCAGCATGTCCCGGAATGCTTGCTCCGGATTTTAGTGGTCCGTGCCGGGATTGAGGAAAACCCCGGACCTTGGTTCTGATCGGATTGTCAGAACGTCATCCACCACAGATCTGTTTCGGTGCGATGTAATGGATGCACTTTAAGAACTGTTCCGGACTAAGGCATTTGCGAGACTACAGCAGTCTCCAGAACAGCAACCAACACCGCAGCACCTAACGCCACATGTTGCTATTCCAACTTCGGATTGTGCATCATTCTTGCAATTCAATTGCAACGGACTTCGAGGCAAAATAGATGAGATAGTGGAATTTATGAGTCGGAGGAATATTAAGATCGCAGCGGTGCAGGAAACCAAGCTGAATGAAAATTGCAGCCTACAACGTTGTAATGGTTACAACGTACTAAGGAAGGATCGCACCAGAAGTGGAGGTGGGGGATTAGCGTTCCTGTTACACCATTCTGTTCAGTACAGACCTATCTCGCTTGAGCTAGTCTCTAGTGACCCATACAGGGAATGTATGGGGGTAGCAGTCAAGTGTGGAACTGCCGAGGTAGAGGTGCTTAATGTGTATATCCCGCCGATTAATAGCTGTGAACCGCGTTATTTGCCTGATATTAGCCCATTATTGGTAGGCAATAACCGCCTGGTACTAGGGGATTTTAATGCCCACCATGAGTTGTGGTATTCCGTCCTAGATAATCCACAATCTGCACGGTTAACAAGGATGCCCCACTCGAATAAGAGGAGAGTGTCACAGATCGCCAGACTTAACCATAGTGTCACCCGGTCTGATAAATGACGTGACTTGGCAACCCGTCATTTCTCTTGGCTCAGACCACCTCCCGATAATCGTCTCCATAAGCAGGTCGCCCGATTTCATAACCTCTGAACGCTGCACTTTCCTTAACCATGGGAAAGCTCAAACGAGCGAGATGATCTCCGTCGTACCAATCCTACTGATCCTAGAAACAGTGATTTGACAGTGGAAGTCAATCGTGGCTAGACCATCTGAAGTGCTGCAACATTGGAACCGATATGAGTAAGCTGTGGGTAACGGTTAAGTCGCTCTCGAACCCTGGAAAAAAGGATGATAGGACCTCAGTCACTTCCCAGGTGGGATGATATCTTCCCCAAGTGGGATGATATCTCCGGAACTGTTCATCTACCTTTCCGGAATTCCTCGCCCTCCAGACGGCATTGAGATCGTAACGTATGCGGATGATTGTACGATCATGGCGTCGGGTCCAGTGGTCGATGACATATGCGAAAGGTTGAACCCCTATCTCACGGAGCTTGCCGCATACTTCCACGCGAGGAATATGAAAATATCCGCCACGAAATCAACGGCCACACTCTTTACCACATGGTCTGCGGAGATGAGAACACAGCTGAATGCTCAGGTCGAGGGGAATCTAATACCGACCCCGAACTACCCCAAGATTCTTGGGGTCACGTTCGACAGCATGTTCAAGTCGTCCGCGCAAGCCACAGCTATCTGCGACAAGATGAAAAGTAGGAACAAGGTCCGCAAGGCGCTAGCCGGCAGCTCTTGGGTGCGGACAAGAAACCTTGTTGACCTCTTATAACGCGATAGGTCGGTCTGTGGTCAGCCATGCGGCTCCAGTGTTGTCTGCGAATACTAGTGCTACGCAGTGGAAGCATATCCAGACCTGCCAGAACGCTGCCCTGAGAACTGCGACAGGGTGCCTCCTCATGACACCAGTGGACCATCTACATGACGAGGCGAAAGTCCTTCCCTTACGTCAGCATAATCATATGCTTTCGTTGCAGTACCTGCTGGGTGTTACCGTGAGAGTCATCCCAACCATCTTATGGTGGATAAGTATCCCCCACCCAGGCGTGTCAGGAAGGACGTACATGATCTAGAAAGGGAGGTCCAGCGCTACAGGAGAGAACCTCTAGATCAAGAAGCCTACCAGGCAGGTCTGAGTGGCATTCACACCGATGCAGTCGCGGATGCTATTAGCAGTTATAAAGTCAATGCCATCCTCGGAGTCCACCCCCCATCCATTGCAGCTGAAGAACGTCAGCTGCCTAGACAAACCGGGGTAGTTTTGGCGCAATTACGTTCAGGATGGTGTAGTCGTCTCAATTCGTATTGGGCACAATTTGATGAAGATGTGCGTGACGCCTGCCCGGCGTGCGTTACAACCCCCCACAATACGCTACACCTTTTTAATTGCTCAGCCAAACCTACCCAACTCACTCCAGAAGATCTCTGGCTACAGCCCGTTAAAGTAGCCGAATTTCTAAACCTGGAGCTGGAACCAGATTAGCAGAACGCAAACATATACATGTACTACTGCTACAACAACAACAACCAACAAATTGATTGTTAGTACGAGAAACATCATGGAAAAATTATTGCCTTGGCGGTGAGGAAGATTCTCGAGTGATATTTGCTTTGTGTGTTGTGTTGTTTGTTTGAAAGTGCGCTGAAGCACGAACAAACGATTTTGTTCGGCATCGTGAAATGATACCCAGTATTTATGCCTAGACTTGAGGAAATGAATGTGGAAAGTATGCGGTTTCGTTTCTGAAAGAGGTCGCAACATGTTATAGCGGCAGTGAAACAACAGGTAAGCTGTGTGTTTACGGAGTAGTTGAGATTTGGGGTTAGCGTATGAAGTAAAAAAGATTGGTGTTACAAATAAAATTATATTAACGGACAATTTGTGTGAAAAGTGGCAGTGCCAAACATAGGCATAAAGGTAATTGCTAGTAAATTCAATTTTAGAGAATTTTTACTTTTTAATTAAAAACTGACGTCCGAAAATCGATTCATTAAAATTTTGTGCTTGTCATTTGAACGTTTTTTTATTTCTTTCATACTATTATTTGCTTTTTACTAATTCTACCTTTTTATGTACCTTAGGATACCTGGGAGCACAGCCCGATAAATGGAAAGATACTTTGACACATATCAATTAAATGGCACACCTGTGGGAAACAACATCATCTTCTACCTGACTATTCGCATCACCTGTGTATGGAATCACCAGCGATTGGAAGGGGTCAAAAATTTGTTGCGTCAGTTTTTATTATGATAAGTGAACGGACGGACAAGAAAAACAAAATGAGGTGTGAGACTGTAGTATGGATTTGGATTGCTCAATGATGTATTCCACATACGCCCAAAAAAGATTTACAGGGAATATCTCTTATAAACAACAACAAACAACAACTTTAAAAGATTTATGAAGTCCGTCGTATTTGAGACACTATCATAAAAACACTAGTTGTTGTTGTAGCAGCTCATACATCTGTGTTCGTTCGGTTTCCATTTTCTGACTCAATTCAATCAGGTTCTGGCTCCAGCCTCAAAAAGGATGCAACCTGTATGGTTTGTGTCCATAACGAGACTTGAGTTAGGTGAGTAGGCTTCGCTGGGCAGCGAAATAGGTGCAGCGTGTCATGTGGGCCTGTGCCACATGCTGTGCCCAGTAGGAATTTAGGCGGCTGCACCATCCGGATCGTAATTGAGCCAAAACTACTCGAATTTGTCGGGGCAGCTCTCGTTCTTCAGCTGCGACGGGAGGGGGATGGTCTCCAAGCACAGTATTCACTCTATATCCTTGAATGGCTTCTGGGACCGCATTAGAGTGAATACTATTCAGTCCCGCTTGATAGGCCTGTTGATCTAGAGGCTCTCTCGTATACCTCTGTACCTCTTTCTCTAGATCATGAAGGTCTTTCCTAACGTGCCTGGGCGGAGGTTGCCTATCCACAAGATGGTGATTTGGATGGCTTTGTCTATAACACCCAAGCAGGTATTGCATTGACAGCATTTTGTTATGCTGTCGCACCGGTAAGACCTTCGCCTCCTCATGTAGGTGATCGACAGGTGTCATGAGAAGGCACCCTGTTGCGGTTCTAAGGGCGGCATTCTGGCAGGACTGAACATTTTTCCACTGAGTAGCACTGACGTTGGCGGACCACATTGGAGCCGCATAGTTTATCACAGACCGGCCTATCGCGTTGTAAGAGGTCAACAAGGTTTTCTTACCAGCTCCCCAAGTACTGCCGGCCAGAGACTTAAGGACCTTGTCCCTACTTCTAAACTTGTCGCTGTGGTATGCGCGGACGACTTAAAGAGGCTATCGAATGTGACCCCTAATACCTTGGGGTAGTTGGTGGTCGGAATAATAGCACCATCGACCTGCACATTCATGGATAGCCCCATCTCCGCAGTCCATGTGGTGAAAAGTGTGGCCGTCGACTTAGTGGCGGATATCTTCATATTCCTCGCAGTGAAAAAGGCGATAAGATCAACAAGGTAAGCGTTTAACCGATCGCAAATGTCATCAATAATGGGTCCGGACACCACGAGCGTACAATCATCTGCGTACGTTATAATCTCTATGCCGTCTGGAGGGCGTGGAATGTCAGAAAGGTAGAGGTTAAACAGTTCCGGAGATATCACCCCACCTTGGGGAACTCCCTGTTTAACTCTACGGATGCTCGACTTCTTGTTTCTGAATTCCACGTACGACTGGCGTCTACACATGTAGTTTACTATCCAACGTTTCAAACTTGGCCGGAGGGTGGTGCGCTCAATGTCTTCGAACAGTGTGGCATGATTGACTGTATCAAAGGCTTTTGATAAATCAAGTGCCACCATAACTGTTCTATCGCACGGCCTGTTCTGGTTGAGACCTCTGCTGACATGTGTGGAAATGGCGTGTAAAGCTGTTGTTCTGCTGTGCAATTTTCGGAATCCGTGTTGATGATCGGCTACTGGGAAACACTCTCTTATGCTGGGGAGGAGTAAAGCCTCAAGCGTCTATGCTACTGGTGACAAAAGTGATATCGGCCTGTATGAATCACTTTTGCTGGCATCCTTGCCTGGCTTCAGTAGCGGGACCACCCTGCCCATTTCCAGGCATCGGGAACTACTAGGGTGGCTAACGACAGATTGAGAAGCTTTGTAAGATACTGAACTCCTGGTTCATCTAGTTGCTTCAACATCACCATTGAGATTCCGTCAGACCAAGCGCTTTGCATGACTTTGCGCTTCTGATGACCTGTGCAAAATCTGCCAACGTAAATTGTGGTGGTACCTCCTCGGCTGGCGAAGCTCATCTCGCTCGTTTGCTAATCCCGCTGCCTCTGCTGGGAAATTTGGTCTTATTTCAGGTATTCGACCAGCAGGTATATAGCGAGCGGCTGCAGCTTTGATGATGTCCCGGAAACACCTATCCGCTACCTGAACATCAGATGGGTTGGGCAGTTCTCTGAAGCGGCGATTGGTATACTCTCTGAATTCTTGCCAATTGGCTTTCCCATGGTTAAGGAAAATGCGGCGTTCAGAGTCAATGAAGTCGGGTGGTCTGTTCATGGCGATAATAATGGGGAGGTGGTCTGAGCCTAGAGAAATGACTGATTGCCAAGTTACGTCATTCGTCAGACCTGGGGACACGATGGATATGTCCGGAGAACTGTAGCAGTCTCCCCTTATTCTGGTGGGCGCGTCCTCATTCACTGTGCAAAACGTGGAGCTATCAATTTGCTCAGCCAGAGCCATGCCTCTCTGGTCATTACCTAGGACGGAATGCCATAATTCATGATGGGCACCAGACGGTTATTGCCTACCAGTAGTGAACTGATATTAGGCATATAACGTGGGGCACAGCTATTTAACGGCGGAATGTACACGTTGAGCACCTCTACCTCGGCTGTTTCACACTTGACCGCTACCCCCATACATTCCATGTACGGGTCACTAGAGTCAAGCTCAGGCGTGATAGGTCTGTACTGGACAGAGTGCTGCAATAGGAACGCTAATCCTCCACCTCTGGAGCGATCCTTCCTCCGTACGTTGTATCCATCACAACTTTGAAGCCTGCAGGTGGTACTCAGCTTCGTTTCCTGGATCGCTGCGACCTTGATGTTCTTCCGACTCATAAAGCTTACAATTTCGTTAATCTTACCTCTGAGACCATCACAATTAAATTGGAGAAATGATGCATTATCCGGAACCTGAACAGCAATGTGCGGTGTGAACTGCTGCGTAGATTGCTGTTGAGGAGATTGCGGGGGAGTCTCATATTGCGACGACGATGAGGACGCCGAAGATGAAGACTCACTGGGGTCTACATTGACGCAGCAGGAAGCAATGTAGTCCCTATCGCTATACTCCTGTATCCAGTTTAGGCCGGAACAATTCCGGAAATGCACCCACTCCATACATCCGTTGCATCTCACCGAAACCGATCTGTGGTGGATGCGATTACGACAAACGGAGCAGAACCATGGTCCGGGGTTGGTCTCGATCCCGGCTCGGACCAAGAGAATACGGAGCAAACATTCCAGGTAATGTTGCTCCCACATCAGAAAAATGGACGAACACGAACATGTATTTGCTGGGTTGGCGGCCTCTGGTCGGAGAAATGTGCCTCCAAGTCAATCCGGTACATAGAACCGGCCGCCGTGGGATTGTAAAAAAAATACTAGTGGTTTACTCTGGTGGTGAAATACATCCACCGAGTATGTCGAATATATATAAAAAAATGTTGGAATATACTATAAATCAGAGCCGCCATACTACATATCCTTTCATCGCAGCATGATAAAATAAATTATCCATAATGGAAAGATGAAAAATCTGTTTTGACCATTGATTTGTTTGGACGTTCACATTTATCTGATTTGTCTCTATGATTCATTTGCTTCTTTATTATCATTTATAAACTATATTATAATATTATTCAATTTTATTATAGTCAAATTATACCTCATATATAAAGTTATTTTTCTGCGGTTTCGGGCCATTAACAACTCAAGTTTGGGCTAGATTGGGTCAATTTCTAAGAATATTTTATAGTTATAGTACAGTGGTGGGAATTTTTCAAAAATAATATCACACTTTCTCACTAACTTCTTAAGATCCTCAAAAATACTTTCCTCATTTTTAATGCAATCTCAACTTAGTCAAGGTCGTTTTATTTCTTTATGCTTCTGGTCTGCTATTGCTTCTGTCCCAACGTGGGGAACTCCCACACCCTGAAATAAAACAAGCCGGGCAATCAAGGATATTTCTTAGCCTAATGAAAGATAAAAATTGTAAAACATGTCAATAATTGGTACTAATAATTACAGCAGCAAAATAAGTAAAGAAATGGACGTTCACAAACATTGATTTCCTTAATCTATATTGCACTTTTTATTACTAGTATCACAGAAATTATTGCACCTAGCGGTTTACCTTGGAGTGTTTCTAATTCATACATATTATTCCCAATGGGTCTAACAACTCTACATTTTAGAAACTTTTTCCCGAATTCCGCGTTAATATTATTCTTAAAGTCAGACAGCATGTGATTACGTCGATAAACTTCTTGACCTGGCAATAAACTAATTATACGTGCTCTTTGGTTGTAGCGTTTTGCACTATTTTCAAATGCTTTGTGCATATTGCTTTTTATTTTCTCTCGCATCAGTTCTAATTTGTCGCTCCTATTTAGATCATCTATTTAGTGGTCAGTGAGTGATTTTAACTTTTTGGCAAGCTTATAATCAGATCCATTTGTAAACATATTATACCCAAAAAGGGCGAAGAAAGGATTTACACCGGTAGAAGAATGCACGGATGTACGAAGCGCTGGTGCAATTTCTGTTAAATATAAATCCCAGTCGCGATGGTCATTTTCCACATAGGTTCTGATAGCCGCCAGTACCGACTGGTTTACTCGCTCGGAAGCATTTGACTGAGGAGAATAATATGCTGTGGTCAGGTGTTGAATCTTGTAATTCTTAATCATCCTTTCAAATACTTTCGATGTAAATTGTTTTCCGTTATCACTGTGGATAACCTCTGGTATGCCGAAGATATGAAATACCTGTTCCTCTAAAAATTTGACAACGTTTTGAGATGCTGCTTCCTTCATCGCGTTCAGGAACGTAAATTTTGTGAAGTGCTCTACCACAATAAAAATGTACGCGTTTTCTTTTTTCGATCGAGGATATTTTCCAAGAAAATCCACGTACAATTTATGAAATGTTCTTTCCGCCACCACTTTATTGCCGATTGTAGGGTTCAGGTGCTGGTTTGATGATTTGCTTTCCTTGCAAATATCACAATTTCTGACATACTGTCTCACCTGTGACACCATCTTAGGCCAGTAGTAAAAAGTTTTAAGACGATTAAGTGTCTTGCTGATGCCGTCATGTACTGTATCGTTATAATTATGCGCGTTCTCTATCAGGGCATGCGTTATGGTTAGAGGTACCTATAATTTCCACTCGAATTCTTCTATATCCGAATCGAAATTTATTTTCCTTATGGAGATTTTGTTGTCTGCTATTCTCAAGTCGGGTAATACTTCTTGGTTTTTGAGTATCGTATCTCGAAGTTCTATATACTATTCATCGTCGAAAGCCGTCGTTTCGAAATTCAGATCTATATCTATTTCTTCTACTATCAAATCTGAGTCAATGGGCGATCGAGATAATGTGCCCCTTTCGGTGTTCGATTGAGAAATCGTACGTTTGTAGTTGCAAAGACCACCGTGCAAGTCTTCCATCCTTAAGTGACATCAGCTTCTTAAGACTTGCATGGTCGGTTATAATTGTGAACTTCATGAGTTCGACATAAGGTCGAAATCTCTTTACAGCTAACACAGCCGCTAAACACTCTTTTTCTGTCACAGTGTAATTTCTTTGGCAGGGATTTAGTTTTTGCGAATAAAATGCAATAGGATTTTCATCGCCTTCATCATTTTTTGAAATGGGACGGTCCCGACACCGTATTCAAATGCATCACATTGAATAAAAAATTCTTGGTGAAAGTCGGGGTGTCTGAGGACTGTGTTTGAGAGTTTGAGATTCAATGGCTTCGGGAGACATCGAAAATTTCTGGCCTTTCTTTAGCGCATCTGTTAGGGGCGCTGACACTGAGGCAAAATCCTTTATAAGTCTCCGAACTTCTCTAGGCGACTTCGGTATCGGGATTTTCAGTATTGCCTTGATCTTTTCAGAGTCGGTTTTTAAGCTTCCATTTCCAATTATGTATCCGAGATAACGTAACTCTCTGAAGCAAAATAAAGACTTATTCAATCCGATGGTGAGATTGGCTTTCTGTAGGCATTCTGCAACGTCTTTCAACAATTTAAGGTGGTATTCGAAGTCATTAGCGATTATTAAAAGATCGTCGAAATAAATAAACACATTAGACTTGAGCCTCCCCGGTATCATTTTGTCCATTAATCGACATAATCTTTGAGCCGCATTACACAAGCCAAACGGCATTACCCGGAATTGGTACAGCGGTCGACCTGGAACTGTGAACGCAGTATATGGCTTGGCTTCATCTTCTAACTCTATCTGCCAGAAGACATATTCTAGGTCGACGCTGCTTATATAATGTGTCTGGTCTATTCTGCTGAGGATACCGTCTATATTTTATAGTGGGTAGGCATCTTTTACTGTCACGGCATTCAGCTTTCTGGCATCTAAGCAAAATCTGTTTTTGCCAGGTCTACGCACAACGGTCCACGTATACCCGATTCACTGAGACGTGGTTAGCTTTATATGCCTTAGACTTCTCACCAAATATTTTTGAATTTCTCCCAAATATTTTTGATTTTGTTTTAGCTTTAGTTTTCTTCCCTAACGTTTAATGGCAAATAATGCCGGATTTTTCCGAAAATATCTTCGTTATTAGAAGTATCTAATTTGAGTGAAGGTCCTGAATTGCGGGTTTCCCTGAAGAACGATGGTTCCCCGCTGCAACCATGTTCGACCACCCGTTTCCCGTCCTACAGTTAGAGCATCTCGGGGTGACTGTGTCATGCTTGCCACATTTAAAACAAAACAAATTTCTTTGGGCCGAAGTGCAGTCCCTAAAACCATGCCCAGGTTTTTGACAATTCCAGCATATTAAAGTTATTTCAGAAACCTCAACTATTTCTTCTTCAAAGACTTGAATGTTTCTTACTTCATCTTCTTCTTGAATCGCATGAACTCTAACATGCCTATTGAAATATGAAGATGGGTTTGGGGCTGAGTCGCGATGAAAAAAAGTTCCTTCAATTCCTAAACATTCCACTCGTAGCTGTTCGAGGGATGACACTGGCATAGAATAAACTATGCTGGACAGATTTTTCCGTAAATTCTTTTTAACCAGCGATATAATTTCAAATTCAGACACTGGCCTTTGCAACTTTGACCGCTTAGAGTTTATGTCGTGAAAAAATTCATCGATGGTCTCATTGGTAATTGTTTGCGTTCCAACAAATCCCTCAGTTCCTCAAAACACGTACGCCTGATTTTAAAGCGTTCTAGGAGTCCATGCGTCAATGAGTTCCAATCTGACATATTGTTGCTTCTCTGTTGTAACCAGAACCCTTCGTAAGCTGGTCCTGACAATAAAATATGAATCTCGTTCAAAATGTCAAACTATCTAGATAGTAGTGCTGCTGAAAATACTCAAGACGATAAATAAAGTCCTCTACTGAGAGGCTATTTGGTCGGCCTGAAAAATTCAGTCCAAACCCTTCCACTCTTATGCCTTGACCACTGGAAAAACTTAAAACTGACCGTATTCCTGCGACTAAAATTGGGGCTATGGTCTCGATTTTGTTGGGGTACCTGATTCATATAATTATCAGATCTGTTGTTGTCTTGAGGTAGTGACTGGTGTCTCGGAATGTCATTCTGTGAAGACGCTGTAGGATTTTGAATTCTTTTTGTTCAGAAATGGGCATTTTGGACAAAACATCACTGAGTCTATTTATGACACTATATACTTGTTCCATTTCCCTACTAACGCTCTCCTGCACTAAACCTCGGAGGTTATTATTGGCCTGTGCCAAGCTTTCATTCACTAGGCTTCTCACTAAAATATCTACCTCTACTGGGTGAGTCGGCTGATTTGCTGGTTGGGGATCATTTTGTCTCAATCTGGCCGCAGCACTTGTGCTGGGTTTAACATTAGTTATTGTGCCAGAGAGATCTCGAATTGACGGACAAGAACTATTATTATTAGTCGTTTTTTGTTTACTTTAGGTAAGGGCGAAGAAATCGAGGTGCGGCTTGAGTCGAAAGTCAATAACCGATTTCTCTTGCTTTTCTTTTTTCTAAGACCCGCTTCTTTATTTCTTTCGGTATTGTCGCTCATCAGAAATTTGAAATTTTTATTATGGATTTTTTTTTTAAATATTAGAATGAATAAGAATTGTGGAAATTATTGATTTAAACGTTGGCTAATATTTGTTTAATATACTACATAAATTTAAAACTACTAGACAAAAAAAAAATACTAAAAATAATGATAACAAAAATACAAACATATATGAATAAATAAAGTAGAATAATTTAATAATTAGTAAAACACAAAATAATTACACTTAGGTTACTTGAACAACAAAATTAGGTTACTAATACAACACAAATGACATATATCAGAGGTCCTAGGGTGTATTTTCAGTAACTGATGTGGATAAAGCGTGTGGTTTTCAATTGATTTGCAATCAAATAAACATTTAATTTTAAGTGTCCTAAAAAGTTTGTCATGGCGTGTTGAGAGACTGGACTTAAACAAACATTTATGAACACGAATTTAAAGGATAACACCACGAAATTTTTCTTCAATTTTGACGAAAAAAGTCAGCGTGTACAGAGTACTTATTGCACAATACAGTCAGTGACACTCATCGTCACTGCAGATATTGCACATTTCCCCTAATGTCAACCTTAAACTATTGTACCTACTCTACAAAAATAATTAAACATCGACATAAAAACACAGGTCATTAACACAATATATTCTTTGTTACAATTAAAGAACAAGAGCTACTGCACTAGACCCTAACTTATGGAACGATATATCCTAATTTTCTAATTATCTAAACTAAATATTGCACAGTTATCACAGATTTTAAAACAAATAAGTGGATACAATATCTTTTAGCACTTAGAAAATGCGATATATCGTTTTTATCTATTAACCCTATCGTCTATTGCTTTGTGCTAAGGTATTATTGCACGAATCGAAAATAACTGTCCTTGCCACCATAATGTTTTGACACGTTGGTATTGCACAAAAAATGTTGTATGACAGGACAATATTTTTTTCTCATTTGGGCGCCATATTGTTACGTGCTGCCTAGATGGAGCTGGGCGTTATGTCATTATGAACCGCCTGAATTAGACGACATATTGTAGCTGCTTGACGCGGTGCATGGTGGGGTTCCGACAAGATCAATCGGGGCACATTTTTTGTCAGGGGGTTCTCAACCCTTCCACCATCAGCACTAGGCGTCGAACAATTAAAAAGTAAACAGAAAATGAACACAAAAACCAATAAAAATAAAACAACAAACACGACATACAACCATGACAAAAGAACTTGGTATTTTGGTTCCCACATTTTGCCCGCCCATCCTTGACCCTTTGATCCAGAATAAATAATTGATAATTTTAAAGGGCCCCAAAACCCACTAACACTTACCACTTAGTTACATACAACCTAGATCCCTCTCTTACAAGAAACAATTAGAAGTTCATATTACTAAACATATTAAACAATTTACTATAATTTCGTCTTAATCATAATTACAAAGTCTAAATAAAACAAATTTAATTCTGGAATTCCTAGCACCTTTAATTTTCATGATCCATTATTCAGCAATTAATTATTTTTGGACATCACCATTCAGTCCATGCAAAAAAATATTTAAATGGTCCCATTCTCTTGGGGTAACCCTACACTCACTTTCTTTAACTGGGTGTTAAAAAATCCAACTCAACAAATGAACCTTATATACTAACTTACTAATAATGGACATTCACACTTAACTTAACATTAAAACATAAATATAATTGTTCTTATTTTGTTCGTCTCTGTTTGTTGTGATTTTTAATGTCTCAATTCAATGTAAATTTAATGTTATTTCTTTTTTTGTTAAATTTTCAGATTTTTTTCGTCAGCGCGCCATGGAAGCATTTGGCGCTTAATTCTGAACGGCAATTGGAGGCAACTGCCAATTTTTTACAGGAGAATCTCGGCTTGTTAGATAAGAATGAAAAAATGTATAATTTTACCTTTTTATTGCCGGTACTTATCGACTTTTTCTCCTTTTAGGCAAAAGACATCAAAATGGTTGTTGCTGCTAACTCAAACAAGGCCAGTTTCCATCAGCCAAACAAGACAATCACGGGAACAAATTTAAACACAAATTGGGCAGCTGTTTATCCTGGCGGGTTTCCAGAAATTCCGGGTTTTTGCCAAAGCTGACCACCTCCCGGAAGAAGTCTGGAGGAGCCAATATTTCTTGTTCGGGGCTATAGTTGGCGCGACTTTACTATTTTGTTCGCACGTACACATAAATTAAATTATCCAAAACGAACACAAATAAACAACCACAATTTGACATTAAATTCAACAAATATTCCACTGTTATTTTATTTTGACGATGGCTTAATTCCCGGACAAATGGTATTTTTCCACAACAGAACAAGACGCATTCACGAAATTTTCCCCGCTACGCCTTTTTATAGGGCAAAAACTGATGCCAGTTTTTCCCTCTTTTCAAATTTTTCGCGGATTTTTCATCAGTTTATTCGTTTTTCCTTTGAACCGCACCTACATATCCATACACCCTACATAGTTGCATTCTTCGCTCCACTTACAGTGATGGGTGGCAACGCTGAAATTCTGTGCATGACCCGGCCACTTCGCATATCCGGCTCTCTCATTTTTTCGCCGACCAAGGAAGACAGCAACTATACACAAAGGTGCTGGTAATAAATTTATTAAAATTTAAACATTTCTGGGTCACATGCAACAAACTTCAACATTTCCAAGGCAAACGCTGGAAATGATGATGTGCATGACCTATGGAATAGTATTTTGAAAAATCTCTCAGTGATGACTGAAATAAAGCTGTATTTAAATCGGGATATGCCAACCTTAAGGAAATGCATGCTACCAGCTAGAATCACGGACATTTCTTTAGTGGACAGGACAGAGGTAAGCAGTTGTAAAATTATTTATTCGTACACATTTTAATCTGAAAATTTTCTTTACATGTCTCAAAATTTCATTAATGAAACTAACTTGTTGGTCGATTGTGGGTTTGTGCTAGCGCACAAAATACGGTGTCTCAATGTGTACACACACATCCAAATATGTATGTGCGGTTGTTATCATTTTCCTGAGTGGTGGTCGAGCACGCCAGTAAATTGGGGTGGATTAAGCAGGTAAGTACAATTTGTTTTTGTTCTATGGTGACTATTAAAAATTTATGTTTAATATCGTCTTTACTATTTCAGGTTACTAATGGGGTGACATTTTGACATAAAAGTTGTTGGCAGCTAAGCAAATTACAAGGTAATTAAAAATGGAGTGCTACACATATTCCCCTTGTGGACACCAACCTTCAGATATTGATTGTTGTTGTTGCACGAACAGACGAATTTGTTCGGTATCGTGAAATGATACCCAGTATTTATGCCTAGAACATAAGCATAAAGGTAATTGCTAGTAAATTCAATTTTAGAGAATATTTACTTTTTAATTAAAAACTGACGTCCGAAAACCGATTCGTTAAAATTTTGTGCTTGTCATTTGAACGTTTTTTTATTTCTTTTATACTATTATTTGCTTCTTACTAATTCTACCTTTATATGTACCTTAGGATACCTGGGAGCACAGCCCGATACTTTGACACATATCAATTAAATGGCACACCTGTGGGAAACAACATCATCTTCTAGCGATTGGAAGGGATCAAAAATTCGTTGCGTGAGTTTTTTTTTTATTATGATAAGTGAACGGACGGACAAGAAAAACAAATTGAGGTGTGAGACTGTAGTATGGAATTGGATTGCTCAATGATGTATTCCACATACGCCCAAAAAAGATTTACAGGGAATATCTCTTATAAACAACAACAACAAAATGTTTTATGAATTGGTTTGGGTTTATTTCATGCGCTGAAATAGAGAAAAAAGGCACTCTCAGAGTTGACTTTGTTAAACTTTACAAGATTTATGAAGTCCGTCGTATTTGAGACACTATCATAAAAACACTAGTTGTTGTTGTAGCAGCTCATACATCTGTGTTCGTTCGGTTTCCATTTTCTGATTCAATTCAATCAGGTTCTGGCTATAAGTCCAGCCTCAAAAAGGATGCAACCTGTATGGGTTGTGTCCATAACGAGACTGGAGTTAGGTGAGTAGGCTTGGCTGGGCAGCGAAATAGGTGCAGCGTGTCATGTGGGCCTGTGCCACATGCTGTGCCCAGTAGGAATTTAGGCGGCTGCACCATCCGGATCGTAATTGAGCCAAAACTACTCGAATTTGTCGGGGCAGCTCTCGTTCTTCAGCTGCGACGGGAGGGGGATGGTCTCCAAGCACAGTATTCACTCTATATCCTGGAATGGCTTCTGGGACCGCATTAGAGTGAATACTATTCAGTCCCGCTTGATAGGCCTGTTGATCTAGAGGCTCTCTCTTATCCCTCTGTACCTCTTTCTCTAGATCATGAAGGTCTTTCCTAACGTGCCTGGGCGGAGGTTGCCTATCCACAAGATGGTGATTTGGATGGCTTTGTCTATAACACCCAAGCAGGTATTGCATTGACAGCATTTTGTTATGCTGTCGCACCGGTAAGACCTTCGCCTTCTCATGTAGGTGATCGACAGGTGTCATGAGAAGGCACGCTGTTGCGGTTCTAAGTACCACTGGCGTTGGCGGACCACACTGGAGCCGCATAGTTTATCACAGACCGGCCTATCGCGTTGTAAGAGGTCAACAAGGTTTTCTTATCAGCTCCCCAAGTACTGCCGGCCAGAGACTTAAGGACCTTGTCCCTACTTCTAAACTTGTCGCAGATAGCTGTGGTATGCGCGGACGACTTAAAGAGGCTATCGAATGTGACCCCTAATACCTTGGGGTAGTTGGTGGTCGGAATAATAGCACCATCGACCTGCACATTCAAGGATAGCCCCATCTCCGCAGTCCATGTAGTGAAAAGTGTGGCCGTCGACTTAGTGGCGGATATCTTCATATTCCTCGCAGTGAAAAAGGCGATAAGATCAACAAGGTAAGCGTTTAACCGATCGCAAATGTCATCAATAATGGGTCCGGACGCCACGAGCGTACAATCATCTGCGTACGTTATAATCTCTATGCCGTCTGGAGGGCGTGGAATGTCAGAAAGGTAGAGGTTAAACAGTTCCGGAGATATCACCCCACCTTGGGGAACTCCCTGTTTAACTCTACGGATGCTCGACTTCTTGTTTCTGAATTCCACGTACGACTGGCGTCTACACACGTAGTTTACTATCCAACATTTCAAACTAGGCCGGAGGGTGGTGCGCTCAATGTCCTCGAACAGTGTGGCATGATTGACTGTATCAAAGGCTTTTGATAAATCAAGTGCCACCATAACTGTTCTATCGCACGGCCTGTTCTGGTTGAGACCTCTGCTGACATGTGTGGAAATGGCGTGTAAAGCTGTTGTTTTGCTGTGCAATTTTCGGAATACGTGTTGATGATCGGCTACTGGGAAACACTCTCTTATGCTGGAGAGGACTAAAGCTTCAAGCGTATTTGCTACTGGTGACAAAAGTGATATCGGCCTGTATGAATCACTTTTGCTGGCATCCTTGCCTGGCTTCAGTAGCGGGACCACCCTGTCCATTTTCCAGGCATCGGGAACTACCAGGGTGGCTAACGACAGATAGAGAAGCTTTTTAAGATACTCAACTCCTGGTTCATCCAGTTGCTTCAACATCACCATTGAGATCCCGTCAGGACCAAGCGTTTTGGATGACTTTGCGCTTCTGATGACCTGTGCAACATCTGCCAACGTAAATTGTGGTGGTACCTCCTCGGCTGGAAGGGATCGTATACGGCGTAGGATCCTTCTCTTCGCCCTGTCACTCTCGGGGTGCTCTACAAACTGCCGGTTAAAATAACACGGGCACCTCTTCGGATCTGTCACTTCTACGCCGTTGAATGAGACAGATGTCCGATCGTCCTATTTCCCAGGGTTCGGGAGCGACTTAACCGTTGCCCACAATTTACTCGTTCTGGTACTGATGTTGCAATGCTTCAGATGTTCTAACCACTTTATCCGCTTATGCACACCTACTAACCTGTATACCTCCAGAGTAAGTTCCCTGACTCTGGGGTTATTAGGGTTAGTACGGCGAAGCTCATCTCGCTCGTTTGCTAATCCCGCTGCCTCTGCTGGGAAATTTGGTCTTATTTCAGGTATTCGACCAGCAGGTATATAGCGAGCGGCTGCAGCTTTGATGATGTCCCGGAAACACCTATCTGCTACCTGAACATCAGATGGGTTGGGCAGTTCTCTGAAGCGGCGATTGGTATACTCTCTGAATTCTTGCCAATTGGCTTTCCCATGGTTAACCCTTTCGCTACAAGTTTTTACTGGGTTGCTAAAAAAATCGAATTTTTTGGATTTCTACTATTATTTGCTGTGTAAATAACAATCAATACTTACATTTTAAAAATTTTAATCCTAAATGTGTTTTTCAGAATGTATCCATATGGATACAAAAGTACTGAGTGGTAAATAAAAATGCTGGTATGTTATTTTATTTAATTATTGAAATTTTATTTTTATTAGTAGTTTTAAAATACAAAAGTAATTTTTTGATTAAGAGCAAATTTTGCTTTATGTAGAAACTAAAACAAGTAAAAATATAATTCATATCATTACAATAAAATAACACAAAATAAATTATTAATCCATATTTAATATATAAAGTATAATCTGAAAAGAAAAAATTATTCACTTCACATGATGGTATTGCTTAAAGCAGTTTCTCGATCCATTGGGAATGCACAGGAAAATATTGCACTTGGACATTTAAATCGTGTTTGTCCTTTACATCCTTCGACTTTACATCTACCTTTATTTGTCATGTGTTCTGGCCAATGCTGATAACCGTCATATCGAACAGAATTTGAAGGTGTGGCTTGACGTTTCCTCTTGAGGGTCATTGCGTTAGTTGAAGATTCTTCATTTTGGCATAATGTTGGGCGTCCACGCTCACGAGAACTTGCCTGCTGCTTTGATCGAGCTAAAAGGCCATCAGCAATATCATTTCGAAAGCACAGTAAGTCCACATGCTGATTTTTCATATTATTTTTCTCGTGGTCCATTCTATATTCTAACCACGAGTTACATACAACCAAATCAATAAAGTGGTCAAATATTTTCAGAGTCCACTTTCCAGTTCTAATCGAAATTCTATACAACGAAAGAAGAAAATCCATTTTATCTACTCCTCCCATATTCTTGTTGTACTCTGATACAATGTGTGGTTGTGTTACATTAATACTTTTCTTTTTTTCAACACAAAATCGGGACACTTTATTAATGGGCTCATGGCCATGAATTGATGACACGAGTTGCACAATTCCTCCATCAAGCCATCGAAGAAGAAAAATATTATCTGTTCTTTCTACTCGGTAGTCAAAACTACCTACTTTTTTCGAATCCTTTTCAGATTTTAATTCAACTTTGCCGACTCTATTTCCTCTTATAGTACCAGTAGCCCAAATTCCTTTATGCCGTAAATATAATAACAAATTAACCCTTTCGCTACAAGTTTTTACTGGGTTGCTAAAAAAATCGAATTTTTTGGATTTCTACTATTATTTGCTGTGTAAATAACAATCAATACTTACATTTTAAAAATTTTAATCCTAAATGTGTTTTTCAGAATGTATCCATATGGATACAAAAGTACTGAGTGGTAAATAAAAATGCTGGTATGTTATTTTATTTAATTATTGAAATTTTATTTTTATTAGTAGTTTTAAAATACAAAAGTAATTTTTTGATTAAGAGCAAATTTTGCTTTATGTAGAAACTAAAACAAGTAAAAATATAATTCATATCATTACAATAAAATAACACAAAATAAATTATTAATCCATATTTAATATATAAAGTATAATCTGAAAAGAAAAAATTATTCACTTCACATGATGGTATTGCTTAAAGCAGTTTCTCGATCCATTGGGAATGCACAGGAAAATATTGCACTTGGACATTTAAATCGTGTTTGTCCTTTACATCCTTCGACTTTACATCTACCTTTATTTGTCATGTGTTCTGGCCAATGCTGATAACCGTCATATCGAACAGAATTTGAAGGTGTGGCTTGACGTTTCCTCTTGAGGGTCATTGCGTTAGTTGAAGATTCTTCATTTTGGCATAATGTTGGGCGTCCACGCTCACGAGAACTTGCCTGCTGCTTTGATCGAGCTGAAAGGCCATCAGCAATATCATTTCGAAAGCACAGTAAGTCCACATGCTGATTTTTCATATTATTTTTCTCGTGGTCCATTCTATATTCTAACCACGAGTTACATACAACCAAATCAATAAAGTGGTCAAATATTTTCAGAGTCCACTTTCCAGTTCTAATCGAAATTCTATACAACGAAAGAAGAAAATCCATTTTATCTACTCCTCCCATATTCTTGTTGTACTCTGATACAATGTGTGGTTGTGTTACATTAATACTTTTCTTTTTTTCAACACAAAATCGGGACACTTTATTAACCCTTTCGATCCATTGTATCCATATGGATACATTGAACTTTAAACTCATCTTGCAATTTCGGAATCGATGTTTTGGCCTAAGTATATACAAATACTTGTTATTTGAGGCTTTCTTAACAAGTTTCAAAATAATTGTAGTTATTCTTAACAAAACTGACAAAAATATAGCAATTTAATAGAAACAATTTTTTCCGTAT